AGAGGCAAAAAGAAAAAGCTCGTCACCACAGAACCGAGAGAAGCAGAACAAATATTTTGCATATCGCAAATAGAATTAACGTAACTCCTTGCCGGCAATGAAGAATTACAAGAGAATTGAGCTTTCCCGAAACGAGCTCCAAGCTTTGCAGTGCAGTGCGTTCGGCCGGCTGTCCATGCACACTGTTTGAACGAAGTCCTCGATGTGTTTCCCTACTTCCTCTGCTTCTGCCGCGGAGAACGCCGCCGGTCCGGTCATGAGATATTGCTGTAACTGGGCCGCCTGCTGGCCGCCGTGCCCGCCGTGGCCGCCGCTGCGAAAATCCCTCATCCAACAGGAAATCCATTTGCTTTTCCTGCCCCACCTCCGCATTACCATCCTTAGCGAAAGCACTTAAGGCCGCTTCGGGCTTCGGCGGCCGAAGGCGCGGCACGGCGCGGCCAGGGAAGGCCAGGTGGCGGCCAATGACAAGAGATAAACAGAACGGACGGACGTCGACGCATAGACGACAGGGAATGTATGTACGGGAGCGCCTGTGTGTGTGCGCGCGGCGGTGTGTGCGCGTGTGCGTGCGTCTGTGTGTGAGCGCGAGTGTGCGAGTGTGTGTAAGGAAATCATGGCAGTGTGTCAGACGGACCGGTTTCGGTTCCGCTCCGAACTCACCCGGCTCGGCTCGACTCGGCTCGCCTCGGCGCGGCTGCCTGCATGTACCGCATCTATGTCCGGTACGACGGCGGCCACGGCGGCCGGGAAGCGGCAGCTGCTGCAGCTGCAGATGGCGGGGCCGGGCGGGGCCGGGCGGTGGGGGAGGGGGCACGCTCATCTATTGGCCGTTTGACAAGCCTGCACGCTGTCGCGTGGCGTGGCCCGCAACGTCCCGCGACGTCCCGCCAAGCGATGGCTCGTCATTCATCGGCCTGGCGGAGCGCGGCCGCGCGGCCCTGCCGACCGATTCCGAGAGTCTCTCTCTCGCACCTACAGTGTACAGGGGACGCCCCGTGAGTGCGAGAGGGACACAGCGACGAAAACGACTCTCGGAATCAGTGTGCTGCCTCCGGCCCGGCCCTAGCCCGGCCCTCCAGCCGCTCCAGCCTCCAGGACTAGCACTGCAGGGCCTCGCGGACGAGGGACGAGGACTACATCAAGGCCGCGATGACCTAGTCCTGGACCCAGTCCTGGACCTGGACTCAAACGATCAATACCGTCGTGGTCAGCCTTTTCTGGCAACATTTATTTTCTCGTCCTTACAGAGGGCACGCGGGAAAGGCTGGCCGGCGTAACAACGAGAAGCCAAAGTGCTTCATTGCTTCACTGGATGCCTTCATCGACGGTGGCAACAGCACCCAGCGACGCGCGGGCCAGCCGAAGAGAAACTTTCCGAGATACTTTTGGGCTTTCGGGCCCCTCCGCGAGCAAACGCATGCAATCCGCGCCTTCGCTGCCGGGGAGCGCGAAGGCCGAAGGGTTGCCTACCTCGCCGCGGCCGGGCGGTGGTTTGCCTGCCAGGCGTAGGATGGGCTGCCTACTGCGCAGGCGCTCCAGGTGCACGAAGAGTTGCCTGCCTCGGCCCGTCGGGCGTCACTGCGCGCGTCCGTTGCGTAGAATGGGTTGCCTACCGGGATGGCTTGGCTTGGCTTGGCTTGGCGCGAGAGGCTGGGTTCGCCGTTCGCCATGGCACTGCCCAGCTTGCACTGCACATAGGGCGGCCACGTCTACGAAGTGTGAAGCTGGGTCTCGAACTGCGGGCACCGGGTCTGGAGATCGACGCAGGCTGTGTGGCCTGCGGGTTGGCTGAAGCGGACTTGATTCGTACTAAGAGAGTTGTGAATAAAAGGAAGTGGTGACTTGAACGCCGGCGACCAGGGTTCAACCCCTGCTCTATCGACCAGGCTGCAGTCTGCAGAAGTAACCGTCGGCGCCGTCAAGAGAGTATGCTCATTTCATTTCAGCCAGCCAAGTAGTAAGTAAAGTGCGGTAAAGGGGTGGGCCTGCTCCACTAGTACAATCATAGCGCGAGCATGGGGGGGCCCAACCCGTTGGACTGTTACGCGTTGGGCCGTCACTATGCCATCATCCGAGGCGCGGGGACTCGGACCACACCCTTTGCCGCCGGAATCGTCGAAGGATCGTTTCGTCGCTCTGTCTCTCCCGCACTCAGGGTGTGCCCCTTAGGGGTGCGAGAGAGGCAGAGCGACGAACCGACCTTCTGAATCGCTCGGCTGATACGCGAAATTGGACGACCCAAGAAAGAAAGAAAAAGTGAGCTAAAAAGAAAGTCTCCGCGACAGTACTTTCCCGTTTCGGAATAACCTTTTCGCAACGGCTTGGCCTTTTTTTTCGTTGCTGTGCCGCCGGGTCGGCCAGGGCACTGGGGTCTACCCAGGGGTCTGCCCAGGGGTCAGCGCGATAAGCCGAGGCCCTCTCTCTCGGCGGGGGGTCCTCTGAGTGATAAGCCGGCAACGGTCTGCTGCATGCCGAGTGCCGCCACTGTGCGCCCGGTCAGGGGACGGCCCAGGCCCACGCTTACTGGACCAGTGGACCAGTCGGGGGGTCGAGGCCGTTCGAGCTTGCGCTAGCTAGCGAGAGGAGGCGCCGCGCCGCAAGCGCTACGAGGACGCGGCGGGGGGAGGGGGAAGCGCCCCTGAGCGGTTCAAGTGAACTCAGAATCAGAAACACCGGTTCGGCAAATGCGAAAAAATGGGCGACGATAAGAAGCAAGCGCTGAGGCTCTAGACGAAGGGCAACGCTCCGCGCGGCCGTGGCGGAACGAACCAAGGTGGCGCTCGGGCGGCGGCTTCGAGATCCGCGTGCCGCGATGACGGTCGACTGTTGACCCGATCAGTCGATTAATCGATCATCGTCTAACTTTAATCTCACCTCGCCACACTCCTCCTGCAGCGTAAGGGATGAGATCTGAACGTCTAAGCGAGAAGTTTTTTGATGTTTTTTGGGGGAGGGAAAAATCCCCCCCTCCAAAGCGCCTAGGTGGCCGCCTGTAGTGTAGGCAACAGGCTCCACTTTGCCCCCTCTCTCAGGCCTGCTCTGGATCCGCCACTTTCCGCGTCGCCCTTATTCGGACTGCAACCCTCTGCACGCCCAGTGCCGCGTTCCCCAGTGTGCCTGCCGGCATGCTGCCGACGGGTCAGGGCCGGCCGCGCGGCCGCGCTGCCGGGGGGCGGTGCGCCGCGGTGCGGTCCGGCCGGTATCGCCTGTTGCCATACGCTGAGCGCGAAAGCAACCAAGCAACAAGATTACAACAAAGTCGGGGTCTATTTCCGTCCCCTGCCGGACTGCACGGAGACGATGGAGATGATGGAGACAACACACCCTGTCGCGCTGTCGCCCCCCGGCTTCGGCCGAGGCTTCGGCAGCCCCTTGGTCCGCATCGTTTGGCGCGGCATTTCCCGCCTCTTCCGACGGCGAGTGACTCGGCGGTAGTACGCGGAGGCCACGTGGTCGGAGAGTCGTTTCCCTCCTCTCTCTTCTCTTTTTGTTGTTCTTGTTTTTCGGCCCGTGTTGACTCGCGCGGGCGGCGGCGGCGGCGGCAGGCGGCGTTGTTTGCCTACGACAAAGTCGTCGCGTTGGGAAACCATATTGGAACACAATAGGTTTGCGCGCGTCATCGCGTCATCGCGTCATCTTGTCATCGTGTCACCGAGGGACGCGCACCGCACTGGCAAAGCCGGCAAAGCACGCCGAGGACGGCGTCGCCGCGGTGAAGAAACAGAGGAAATGTACGCGGGAATGAGGTCTGGCCATCCGCATCTTCCGACAGGCTGTCTGTCTGCCTGTCCGCAGTCCGTCCGCCCGCCGCGCTCTCTGCTGGGGGTGCAGCGTGCGAGACGCCGAGACAGCGATAAGCACGTGCACTTGGCGTGCGACCCGGCAGGCCGTCGCTCCGTCTCTGTCGCACAGGCGGTGCGGGAGGGGGAGAGAGAGAGACAGAGCGACGAGGCGCCCTCCCCTTCGGAATCGGACCGCCGGGATCAACGAGGGGTCAGTCGTGCAGCACCGCGCGCCGGCCCGGCCAGTCCCGTCTGCCTCGCTGGGGGTCTCGGGGCCTTGGAGGGGGCAGGCCGGCAGGGCCTTTGCTTTGCAAAACAGGCCCTATTTACCATGGCGGAGCTACGCTCCGCGTCACCGAGGCGCTAGGTGGGTGGAGTGCCTGGCGGGGGCGGAGACACTGGGGCTAGCGTTTTGCAGCATTTCTCCCACCGAGCAACGAAAAAACAACATGGCACAAACAAGGCGCCGTGGCGACAAGCAGTCGATCCACTTCCGCTGTGGCGTGAATCACCCCGCCAGCTCCGCGGGGCGCACCGGCACTGGTCTGCGCCCCCGCCCCGCCGGCCTCTGAAAACACACAGGAATCACGCAAGCCGGGTCCCCTACTCTGTCTTCCACCAGCGGCTTCGGCACGGCTGGAACGCCGTGCGCGGTAGGCACCGCCGAGCAAGCCGACGGCCACGCTCGGCGGGTTGGCCTATCCTCTCTTTCGCGGGCGCTCGGCCCTCGCCACTGGAAAATGAGGTGCTGGACCGCGTCGATCTGACATCCGATTCCGCATTGCTCGATCTGACATGTCCGCATTTTGGCAGATCAGCGACCGAGACGAGAGCGCCTCCGTTCGGCTCTGGAGTAGACGCCTCGCCCTCGTCCAGCAAAACAGGCCCAATATCTTTTTCCTTCAACGCCTCCCAGCAAAAGAGGCCTATCTCTTACCTCAGTCCTCTTTTGCTGGGAAACGTCGAAACAAACTCTTTAGGAGTACTATTGCATCGCGGTTCGCCCTCGAAGCCAGGTCCTCCATCCAGCCCAGCCATCCACAACATCGTCATCGTACACATCGTACTTATTCACACTTGTTTACGCGACACACTCCTCTTCCCGCCCCGCCCCCTTTTCCCCTCACCTCTGTCGCCACGCCGATCCTTCTCGTCCTCTTCGTCTTCGTCCCCCCCCCCCCTCCCACCCGGCCGACAGCCGCTGCCGCAACGCAATGCATAGTATAGCCCAGAGCCCAGCGCTAGCCGGCAACGCACTATATGCCGGCCACAGCAGACGGTTCCGCTGGCGTCTGCCCGCTCCTCGCCGAGCCGAAGCCAATCTCGAAATCTCTGTGCTGTCCCTGTCCGCCGCTCGGCGGGCTTGGGATTCCCTCCGTGGCCGCCGTGAAAGCCGCACGCGCCAACACGCCCTCCCGCGATACCGCGCAAGTGTTGTCGTTAAGCAACGGTGAACTGCGCGGAGGATCCTAACCTCGTCGGTGGAGTCCTTTCTGCTGGTTTCTGGAGTGTCGTCTGCTGCCACTGCTAGTGCTGCCCGTTGGGCCCTCGTGAAGAGACGCCTCATGTCGCTAGGCAGCTTCGAGTTCTGTGTTAATCCTCTGGTGACTCTGACTGAGAGGCACTCGACGGCAGTGCTTGTTTGGACAGCTTGAATACCTCCTGTGATTTGGTGACCTTGACTCACCTGTTCATCTTTGTTGACAAGGAAAATCCCAAAATCATGGATTCCTCAAATGTAAGTTGAATTTACACTTCAAACATCAATGACTGTTGTTTTTCTAATACTGTCATTTCATGGATATCATTACACGTTCTTTTCTAGTATGTCGTACTGAAAGCATTTGCTGCGGGGTCACTCTCTGGGACCTGTTCAGCCATCCTCTTTCAGCCATTGGATCTTGTCAAGACCAGACTTCAAACGAATGTTCATATGTCAACTAAGTGAGTCAACACTCCTTTTAAATGTGATATCTTAAGAACACTGTCAACACTTCTTATAACTCTTATTTTTGTGTTCAGCTTAGTTGGAGGAAGCTCCGCTGTAATGCGACCAGGTTCCATGTTCTCCTACATGGGCCACATTCTCCAGAAGGAGCACCTAACTGGACTCTGGAGAGGAGTAACACCTGTAAGTATTATCTAGTGTGATGTAACTGATAAGAGCTTTTTATGTCTTTTTTTGTTTATTGTTGTGCGTATTTTTGTATTGCAGTCCATAGCGAGATGTGTTCCTGGTGTTGGCCTTTACTTCTCATCATTGCACATTCTGAAGAGTAAATTTACTAATGGTGAACCAGGCCCATTGCAGGCTGTAGCGTTGGGTGTTGCTGCAAGGTCCTTGAGTGGAGTTTGTCTTATACCTATAACAGTAGTCAAGACACGTTATGAGGTACGCATTTATAAAAGCCATGTGCTGCGCTTCATTTAAAAAGACTTTACTATAATAATTATTCTGTTTGCTCTTTCCTCTCTAGAGTGGTGTGTACAATTATAACAGCATAATACATGCCGTCAGAAACATATATCATGCTGAAGGATTACGTGGTCTCAGCTGTGGCTTAGTTCCAACATTGCTTCGAGATGCTCCGTTCTCAGGAATATATCTTATGTTCTATACTCAAGCTAAGAAAATTGTTCCAATAGGTAAGCATTTGTGTATGTGTGATAAACCTATAGTAACATTTATACAACTCTTTTTATGTTAATTTTAATTTTTTGTTGTTGTAATTAAGGTCATGCTGAACATCAGCCAATTTTTAACTTTACCTGTGGCATATTTGCTGGTATCTTGGCTTCAACTGTTACTCAGCCTGCAGATGTGATTAAGACCAAAATGCAACTGTACCCCAACAAGTTTGCATCCCTACATGATGTAATTGTATTTATTTACCAGGTAAGATTTCAAAAAACACATGAATTTTTTAAATAAAGACTTGTAAGGCATTAACTCACTTTTCCTGTTTCTTTCTTAGAAATACGGTGTGGTGGGATTTTTCAAGGGACTTTCGCCCAGAATTTTAAGAAGATCTTTAATGGCTGCTATGACTTGGACAGTCTATGAACATGTAAGTGCTTCTTATCGCATGAAATACTGTCACAAACCAATGTATACCAGGGGCAATGTTTAATTTTATTGCTTGATTGCAGGTTTCCGAAAAGCTTTGTCTTACTTGAAAACTGCGACCATTATATAGAGCATAATGTGAAAAATGTTATTCTAGATTGAAAGTACTGATAATTGTTGACTGTCAGGAAGTGATTTTAAAACACAATCACGTCCCTTTGCTCAGTATTTAGTGCATGGAATTTTATTTCCAATGAGAAACATTCTTTTGTTTGCCACCAGAGTATTTCTATCAGAAAGTGGTTTGTTTATATCAATTAGACAACATGCATTTGATTCCTCCCTCAAACAGACACAACCCCACCATTCTCATTAACAGTGCACCATTTTCTGTTTTGTGACTATATACTATGTTAAAGCACTATTGTGCATTCACGTGTGTACCTGATTTAGCTGTAAGTTATTTGCTCATGTGTGAACCCAAATTCTAGACATACAATTGTTGAGGACTTCTTCTGTAGGTTGTGTGTGGCTGTGAGCATATATTTTTTATGTACCTTTATGTATCTATGTGGAGTATGAAGTGTATCGGTATTGTAATAGAAAATGATTTTTAAATTAAAAACCAAGCCAAAAATAGCTGTTATTGTTTCATTCACTTAAAACATTTAATACATAATGACTGCAGTGGCCACAAGAAAGCATTGCCCATACTCAGTTTTTTATCAACAAATTCTCGTGCGAAAAGACACCTTTTTTGATACGAAACTTACAAAATTATTGACCAGAAAGGAATGTTTAGCACCACAATGCAGAGAGGGGGTTTATATGTTGAATATAAAGGATCTTCATGGTTTCAAAATTAAGCGCGAAGGGAAAACCGGAAGTCACTAGCTGCCACCCAAACAAAAGTTTCCATTTTCTGCAACTTTTTTTTTTTTGACACGTTAAGAGCTGCTGCTAGGCTTTCTCCGGCCGTAAATGTCAAACATTGGATCTGGCACCTCAAATAAATCAGGAGGAGACGTAACTCACACAACTGCCAAGGGTTTTACAGTGCTGTCTCAACGGAGCGAACCAACCGGTACAGTCGCGCAAGACAGCGACTACCGGCGCAGGGCGCAGCCTGATCAGATCAGATCTGATCAGAGTCCAGAGAAATTTGGTACAGAGACAGTTGCTCTCTCCTCCATAATTCATGACACTTGCCCTCGATTGAGTATTGCGAGAGTTGAGAGGTATGCTTCAGTATCGGACTGCAAATTTCAATTCGAAGCGATTGAAATAGTGGTGCAGGTTTGTCGTTGTTCTCCTTTGAGAGATGCCTCTAACCCCTCCATTGAATACAACTACAATTTGGTGTATATGCTGTGACTTTAAAATCACGCATTTTTCTTTTCATTTTACTGTCTTTTTCGTACAGGGGCACTAAAGGATGTGCCCTGTGTTGTAGTTTCCTTTCATTGTTTCTTTGCTCATCCCTATCCTTCTTCTTCTTTGTAGAAACACGTACTGTCAGTTGACCAGCTGTCAGTGAACAATAACTTTTAAACACACACAATGAGTTCCATGCCAGAGGAGGACGCTCAGCAAAAACAAAAATTAAAGAAGCCCAGTCGATTTCAAATGTTAGTGCCAGAAAGTTTGGTGCCTGTATTTCTTTTTGTTGTGGCGATTCCTATTTCAATGTTGATGTGGATCGGACACTTAGCATTTTCATTCTTCAAAGAAACATCACGCTTGGATTGTAAGTAACTGCGGCAACTTCTGTCATTTTTTGATAGCTTTCATTTTATCTAATATTATTTTAACTGTACATTACAGCAGATATAGCTGTAGTTCCTCCAACAAGGTGGCTTGCATCGACGTTAATACCTTTGGCTCTTGTGTTACATGCACTAAGGCGTAAGCATGTTAGTAAAAGTGGGGCAATTCTTGGTAAGATGCCAATCATTAAATATTATATTCCATTAATGCTTGAGAATTAATCTCATCTTATCTTTTTTTTCTAGGATCCATCATTGCTTTTGCATTATCTCTTGCTAGTTATTCATTTTTGGCATGTTTGATTGCATTTTTCTTTTCTTCATCACAAGCCACAAAGTTCCGACAAGAAAAGAAAAAAAAGATTGAGGAACATTTTAAAGAAGGTAAATAGATACTTAATATGTTTCTTCAATTCAATAGAAAATGTATAAACTTTTTAATCTAATTCTTTTTTAGGGGGACAGAGGAATTGGGTTCAAGTTTTGTGCAATGGTGGCATGGCAGCACAACTGGCATTTCTGTACATTCTTGACATGGGATGTGGTGAACGCCCTGTTAATTTCATCAATGATTATCGTGGCTCATGGCTCAGCCTTGGTGTCATGGGTAAGTTGTTGTGCCAGTTGGACCTTTGCTAAATTTTTGACTACTCTGCTACACTGACGCTTCAAATTTCTCATTTTATTTTAGGCTCATTTGCTTGCTGCAATGGCGATACATGGGCATCAGAATTAGGAACTGTGATTGGCAGGGCTGAACCATACCTTATCACTTCTTGGAAAAAAGTGCCCAGAGGTAATTTGCCACAAGAGTGGAATTTGTACTTCAACAACAACCAATTGGTGTTACAGTGCAAACATTTTCTTTGTTACAGGAACAAATGGAGGTGTCACAATCTTAGGCTTAATATTTTCTGCTGTTGGTGGAGCACTGATTGGGATTTCGCATTATGTAACTGTGTTTTACTTCGTGGATGCTCAGCAACTGCAGGTGTCACCCCCTCAGTGGCCTCTTATTATTGCAGGAGCACTGGCAGGCTTTTTTGGCAGTGTCTTAGATTCTGTCTTAGGAGCTACATTACAATACTCTGGTGATTATTTTGCTCATTCTGTTTCTTTGTTTTTGATGTTGAAAACGGGAAAAACAAGTTGTCGATTATTATTGCTGTTACCATACTTAAGACTCTTTTATCCATTTTCAGGGCTAGACGAGAGAACAGGTGTTGTGGTTGAAAGGAGTGGTAAAGGCATTCGTCATGTTAGTGGTGTCCGATTTCTTGACAACCACTGTGTAAATTTAATATCATCTATAGCCATTGGTCTACTTACACCAAGGTTTGCAAATACCTTTTGGCCAACAGGCAACTGATTCAATGTGCTGGCCTCAATGTTTTCTAGTTGATTAATCTTTTTATCTTGAAGCTACAAATATTGTTTTTACTTTTCTTTTTAACATTCCTTATTCTTCTCCTACCCTGTGAATGAGGGTTCATGTTATCTTCCAATCAAGACTGCTGCTAAATTTTAAAACAAGTTTCTTGTGTTCAGGCTCACAGTTTCAGTTCTTATTCTACTCAGTATTTTATTATGTAATTCATGCATGTGTTAAGTATAATAAGCACTTGTTTTTACTGTTCTGGACAAACTATTTTTACTTATACTCCCAATTGGATGTTTAGATCTTAAGTGTTATTAAATATCATACATTGTGGACTGATCCCTGGTTTTAATTATTAGGGGAAATGTGGAGGTTCAAGGAACAGTGGCAACCTTCATTTCTCTGTATTGGTTGTTTTCCCTTTACTTCTACAAAATTATTAAGTTGTGTTTTTATGTTTTATATTATTGTGTGGTTCATCATCATTTGTTTATACAACTTTATTTTATACTGTCAGATTCAAGAAATTATGATCTATTCTAAGTTAATAATCTGTTATAACTCATCCCCCCTCCCCCAATCTCTCTCTGGCTATTGAAGGAGGACATGTTAAGCCGGACCCCATGCTCACAATAAACTACTGCATTTTCACAGATTTGACTGCTGTGTGTGTTCTCAAAAAAAAAGTTCTCTGATTTAGAGTCGTAGCATGTAAACCCAGAGAGATCCTAGTTGTTCTGAATGGTGTATTTTCCCTGAACATCTTGCCTGAAAAAAATAAGCAATTGTTTTGGAATACAAATTAACCAACCCAGTTGAATATTAATGTTGTTGAGACTGTAGAAACTGTCTAGTCAAACAAATACTTAAATGTCCTTCTATAGTTGTGACTTATCCTGATCCTTCCTTCAGTGTTGTGAATTATCAAATCGATATGAAAATATGTTAAGAATAAAATATATCAAATAAAAATGAGTGATAATTTATTTTTACATGTATGTATAAACATTTAGACTACAGCAACAATACTTAAATATCACAGATGTCTCTTAACAGTTAAGAACAACAGTTGCCTATAAAACACAAGACCAATCACAGATAGTGAATGAGTTTACATCTTACAACCTTTCAACAAGTGTCTCAACAGTGTTATTACAAAACACTTGAAACCACCTCACCTCATCAGAATAAAAGTTCATGATTCCAATAGGAAAACCAACTGACAAAACAAAATGCAATGTCAGTTAAATTAAAACATGTTCAAAATTTACTGTAGTATTAAAAATATAAAACTGTATAATCTTCAGATAAAATTAAATATGTACCTAAATTACATCACACTCAGATAGAATCACGTGCAACTGCTGCTTTGCCATCAATTAGAAGTATAACATGTACATATGGCAAAGAGGACTAGACTTTCTTAAAGAGTGGGTTTTAGGGAACACAATATCAAATTCTTAAAAACTTGTTAAGGACTCAATTCTAAAAGACAGTCTGGACAAGTTCAACTTCAGATGTCCATAAAAAAATATTTTCTATTCTTAAGTGTACGTGCGTTTGACCTCAGCATCATCTTTTGACATATTCTTGTACAGAGCACTACTAGGCTTATTTTCAGAACTGTTCCTCAAACCATAGAAGAAGTAAATGCTCAACCCTGGGAAAAGAAAAAGGGAAGGCAATGAAGTACAATGTTGAACACTCAGACTGTAAGTGAGGAAAACAACAAAAGCAAAGAAACTTGGATCTTCTCATGCATTAGAAAATTCCCAGCATGCAAGTCAGACACGTGCAAATCAAACGCCTTAATTTTTTTTAGAACAAAGAATTAACAGCTAGATATATCAGGGTTTCTCAGTCTCAGCGTTCCTAAAACTTGTGCCAAGTGTTTTCTTGTTTCATCTTTTTGCAGCGCGTGTTCATCTTCTTTGCAAGAGTCTTCAGAGCTCTCACCTACTGCAGAACCATTTACAGATGTCTCAGAGTTTTCACCAGTGTGTTCACTTTTAACACCCTCTGAAGGTTTGGCCAAGGTAGTAGAAAATACTTTTGAAGTGGGAGATGTTACAGGGGTGTTAACCTTTGATGAAAATATTTTTTCCAATTTTTCTTTGATATCCCTTACAACCTCAGGGTCATTTGTACCATCCCACTCTGTTTCACTTGGTTCTGTCTGGTGCAGCACGGGCTCTTGAACTGACTTTCTGGAGAAGACGCCAAGGGAAGATCAACATCACGCTGATCATCAGAACCAGACGAAACAGAGTCTGGAGAGGTATCAAAATTACCAAAGCTAGATGGGACATTTTGTACTTTTGAAATATTTATCTCAGAAGACACTGACAAAGTCCTTAATAATGGAGGATGTGAAGTTGATTTTACTTTCAGAGTCTGAGCACCAATTAATTTTTCAAGTTTTTCAACAAAGCTACGCTTTCTAAGTGCATGAACTACTTCAGAATTAGGTCCTAACTTATTTTCATCAGCAGGTGCCATGGGGTTGACAGGGACAAATACAAGTGGTTTAGATTCAGTCTTAATGTCGGTACTACTTGGATGAACATCTGTCGGAGCATCACATTTTAGGCAAGATTCAGTTAATGGACTTTCCACTTCCACCTCGAAACTTTCAACTAGCGTGTTATCTGCAATACTACTCCTTCTAGAATAAATTTCCTCCTCTGATGATGAAATAACAACCACGTCAGGGTACAGGCTGCGCACATCATCTTCAGTATCAGTCTCCTCCGAAGTAATAAGCTGGCTATCATTGTTTGAAACATCCTGACAAACATCTATAGCAACATGATTATTATCGGTCGATTCCACAACTGCAAAATCGGAATCTTCTAGCGGTCTTTCTTCGCGTTCCTGATGTGCACTGTCCTCGACAGGTTTTAAATCAGTGTTCATATTTCTGCTTTTAATTTCATCAAGGTAGGTCAACGAAAGCAGGTCATTTGTCACATCAGTTATAGATACATCAGAGTCAGAGTCCCCAGCCATAACTGAATTGGCTCTTCCATGGTCATTTAAGTCAGGAGCATCATCTAGAGTAGGTTTAATAGGAGAAGGTTCACAGAGGACAGTTTCGCTAGCAGTCCCTAGCAGAACAGGAGCTCCTCGCCAAATCACATCAGAAGACTTCTGTTCGTCCTTCACTACAGTCTCACTACCATTGCAACCATTACTAAAGCTATGGATGCTACTAATGCCTGATGAAGGACCGTTCTTGCCGCTGGTTCCATTAGGAGCGAGTGCCGGTGGAGACTGGGAGACAGGTGATCGTGCAGGGATGTCAAGGGCCAGTGCAGAGCCACACCAATTCATTTTGCGGCATGCAAGTGAAATGAAGTAAACCCCCACACCTGGCCAATGCATGCATTAAAAATAACAGTGAAATTATTCGTGCATAATGAAAGGAAAGCAGTGAATAAATCTTTAAAGCAAACCAGTAGTGCAAGAAAATCTTAAAACTTTAGCAGCAGGGAGGAGAGGAGGGAAAAATAACTACCAAGCCAAACTCAAAACTTAAAATATAGTACTGTCCATGCCTTGGTAAAATGAAAAGAACTTACCAACTGCCATCCAGATCATAAACCTGAACCATGTGTAAAGGTCTAACATGAGAATGAGGTAGATGTTTAAAAGTATGCTCACTGCAGGAATGACCGGAACCAAGGGAACCTGCAACAAACTCTTAATAAGAGAAACCAGATATTCACAGCAACTCAACTATATCCACAAAGCTATTCGCTTACCTTAAATGCAAGTTCGCGTCTTGAGCTAGGCTGCAGAGCCATGGACAATACGATAATCAGCAAAAGTGAACTGATAATGCAAACTAGAGCAAGTGGACCCCAGTGGCCATACATCAGCTGAGACTCCATGTTAACTAAGCACAATCCCAATGCAACACAAAGTCCACCTAAAAAAAAATTTCAAAAGTTAATTGTTTAAATATTTTGAAAAAAAAAAAAAAAACTTGCAAGATTTTAATTGACTTACAAAATAGAAGAACTTCAATGCTGACGAGACGGCTTGTCACTGGAGTAGGAGTTTTCAAACCTTGTGGGTTGAAAGTCTGAGCAAGGAGTCTTGAAAAAGTTGGCTTATCCTTCAGTGATACCAAATTAGTTGTCTCTTTGTAATCACTTGCACCAACGTCATCAGATTCATGGTACCTATACCTTTAAAAATAATCACAAATAGGAAACAATTTTTAGAAAAAAATCAAAATACATATTACAGCAAACCAAAATCCTTCTAATATTACAAACAATATCATATAAATGTTATTTTATGAGGACTTGCATTCCTAAATTTCACTATTCAGGTGGACAGTTTGAAAATTCTTTAATGCATGTTTCGTGGTGCAAAAGCAAAGCGTGCGATAGTGACAATTGATTACCCAAAGCAATTAACAAAGAAGCAGATGGAGAAGTCAAGTTAGTGAACACAGTAATAGTGCTCAAAGGCAGGTGACAGAAAACACCAAAATAAATTTGAAATGAAAAAAAAGCACAGAGCAACAAGAATTGCTTGAACTTGCATCACACCATCAGTGCCAAAATCGAAAAAAAAACCCAAGGGAATTAAGGCTCTTACATGTCATCTGTAAGGCGGTCAGTATCACTAAGCAGGGACACAGCCTCATCCTCATCCTGCTTATCTGCAGTTTCATCAACTGCATACCTAAGGTGCAACATCAAAGTTTACTATGCAATCAAGTCCTAGTCTTATGATGCAATGCTCCACTTATGACCACAAAATTTCTTAGAACCACAAAGCTTCATAAGACTGCGAAAATGAAGACCAGCTCTATTTGGACAGCACAGAATGGCAGACACAAACAGCTGTACATTAAATCCTAGACTATAATTTTGACTTCAAGAGCACCTTGTGAAATGGCAAATACAAATTCGAAACACTTACCTAAGAAGAAGGACACATGCAGCTACTATTGTGTAAGCAACCAAGGTGCCGATTGACAGCATGTTGACAAGTTGCTGCAACTTGAAGAGTGCAGCCATAATTCCTAAGACCAAAAAAAAATGGTATTATAAGCACAAGATACAATATGAAGAAATAACAATCTTTGGTTCATTATACAAACCAGTTATCACTCCAGCAAGAAGAGTCCCCACCAAAGGAGTCTTGTACTTAGGGTGGACTTCTCCCAAGAATTTAAAGATGAGACCATCATTGGCCATGGCATAAATTACTCGAGGTAGAGGATACATGGCCCCAAACAAACTGCACAGAACAAAAATACATTTCTGGTAAAATCAGTAAGGAGGTGATTAAGAAATTCACAAAATGTATGCTGTTGTAGTATAAATACCTTGCAAATAGACCAAAAATCCCTCCAATTGCCACAGTCCACTGAGCTAAAGGCCAGCCAATTTGTTCAAAAACGTATGGTAGCGGTGCATCAGGATCCTACAAAACTCGGAAATTAACGAAAATCCAAACTAAGACAACAGAAGCTTCATAAGTCAACAAACCTGAAGATAGTAAGGCCACATGAGAGTTAACACAGCAGAAACACCAAAGTACGAAAAGAATATAATTACAAGTGAAACAATAATGGCAATAGGAATGGCTCTTTGCGGGTTCTTCACTTCTTCACCTGAAATATTGAAGAGAAAAGCAAGAAATAAAATAAATGTGATTCATATTTAGAGATCGAAATTTTAGGGACATTAAAAACAAACCTGTAGTAGCCACACAGTCAAAACCAATAAATCCATAAAAACAGGTTGCAGCTCCTCTCAGGACCCCCATAAATCCAAAAGGGAAAAATCCACCCTGTCCACCACGAACGTCAGGAGGAATTGTTGATTTGTCAATCTGCCAATTGGCAATATCAGCTGCAAACAGAAGGAAACGATAAGTCAAGAGAAAATTGTAGGAATAATTTTTTTCTACGAAAGGAAGAGTGTATGAACAATTTGATAGTACAACATACCTTTGAAAGATCCGGCCACTATGACAAAGAGGACCACAGCCATGTTAACAGCAGTGAACAAATTATTTAAAGACATTGACTCCTTCACACCAAATGCCAGAATAACTGTAACGAAATAACATTTAAACAAATAAAATAGGATTTATCAAATTGACAGCCAGCGCAACCGATTAAGTGCTTTCTCACCAGAGAGAAGGAACGACATAGTAAATGCGAAGAAATCAATATATGGTGACAGGAAGGACACGTGCAGATGCAGCAAATTTTGGAAGCTATCCTGCATCACATTGCCCATGAGCTGGTCCAGGTAATTACTCAGTCCTCGAGCAACACTGGCACATCCTGAAAGATACGAATCAAGTCAAACAGGAAGAAAGTTGTAGCTTAGTCCAGGAGCCCTCTAAAGGGCATACACCAAAGGACTTCAGAACATTTGAGCCCTGGAGGTGTCACCAACGCCACCCCATCCCCTCCCCCAAAAATAAAATAAAGGGAAGCCCGGCAGCTTATCAAGCTGACAGACAACAAACATCCACACTACATACTGCGTCTCCGCGGCGTGCGTCGACCGGACCGACCTGCGCAGGTACACAGCAAGCACTAAGCGGGAACCTGGACCCCCACCCTCCCCTCCCCCACTCACCGATGACGTATTCCATGATAAGATTCCATCCGATGACGAAGGCCATGAACTCGCCGATGCTGACATAGCTGTAGATGTACGCAGAACCGGCCAGGGGCACTCGGGCACCGAACTCAGCGTAGCACAGGCCTGCCAGACACGAGGAAAAAGAATTAGAAACACGTGCGCGAGCTGTTTTCACGACTGGACTGGGACTTCCCTCGGGAGCCAAGCGGCTGAGCCGAGGAGGCTGGGCCATACACTAAGACGCGAGGCCGGGACTTGCAGGACGTCGGATTTTCAAAGACCGCTGCCCACTCAGCCAGAAACAGAGTCACGGACTTCAAGCCCTTCGTTCGCAAAACCCCTTACTCCTCCTCCCCCCGTCAAGCGGCATGGGTCAGGTCGGCGATGGGTGCAAGGCCAGCGGCGCCAGCGGCCATCGCTCTGCCTCTCTCGCACTCACGGGGTGGTCCAGAGAGGTGCGAGAGAGACAGAGCGACACAGCACCGTGCGGCAACAGCCGGCAGGATTATGGCGGAGCGCTGCGGAGCGCCCTTCGCGAGCCACCCCAACGGGTTTCCGCTCCCCGCGCAGCACGGCGCAGTACGCGGCACGTCGAGGGGAGCCGACGCCTTACGTAAGCGAGGCCGAGGGGGTGCCGGCCAGCAGACCGCGCACGGCGTTCCGTCGCTCCATCCCTCTCGCGCCCAAACAGGACGCCCCCCTGGCCCCGGATGCGCGAGAGACAGAGCGACGACGGCAGAGCGTGCGCCCGGCCTGCCTGGCGACGGAAGGGGCGCAACCCCGCGACCAGGGACCAGGGTCAGCAGCACCGAGCCCTCCATGCCCCCACAGTGGTTCGTCGCCATGTCTCCATCGCGCCCAACGAGTCCGAGAGAGACAGAGCGGCGACCATAGCCCCGCCCTGAAGGAAGGCAATAAGCATGGTGCCACGCCTGAAGACAGGCAAAATGTGTGACAAGCCCCCCTCGAAAAAGAATCCTAGAACCAGGCCTGGTGAAGATGAAGGCAATGTGGAGTTACCTGCAAGCATGGACGCCACCGCGGCCACGGCGAACGAGATGATGACGGCGGGGCCGGCGAAGTCCCTGGCCACGGACCCGGCCAGCACGTACACGCCGACGCCCAGCGTCGAGCCCACGCCCAGCGCGGTCAGGTCGAACGTGGTGAGCACGCGCGCCAGCGGCGAGCCGTCCGCCGTCGACGTGGAGGCCGTGGACGACGACGCGGGCCGCTTCATGTCCACCACCTTGCGGCGCGTCAGCGCCTGCCAGAAGGACGCCAAGCGCCCCATGCTGCACCTGGAACCACCAACACAACACGTAAGCCGCTCTGTCTCTCTCGCACCAGTGCGGAACGCGCCAGACAGAGCAACGGAGCGATCCGTTGGCTCAGCAGGCGGCAGCGGCCCGGGTTCGAACCTCGGCCAGCGAACTGCAGCCCTTATCGGGACGGCGACGCGACGCGCGACGCCCTTGCCGACCGCACTAGAACAATCGCCGCACCCGCAAAGCGCGCAAGCGGGTCAACATCACCATGCTGTCTGCACGGAGTGCCCACGAGCGAGTCGGCGCACACGTGCAGCCACGCACCGTCCGCCCAGGAAGCAGCGCTACGCCACTGGCAGAGACAGCCCAGCCAGCCGCCTGGTTCAGAAGGAGCGTTTCGTCGCTCTGTCTCTCTCGCACCCCTGGGACGCCCCATGAGTGCGGCAAGGACAGAGCGACGGAATAACCCTTCGGCATCGGGCAGCAGAGGCCCTTCGAGGGCCCCATGGCGCACGCAGCGGCCGGCCGGCCGTACCCGAAGGGTCATGGCTCACTGCAGCATGCTGTGCACAGCCAGACGAAGAGGAAGGGCGTAAAAAATGGAGGGAATGACGCGCAGGGTCAGTCTACAAGCGAGCGCGCCAGCGCGAACCGATTCGATCCCGCCAAATATTCCACGCCTAATCTGCCACAGCCCGCCCAGCCCAGCCGCCCCAATGTGGGTCAAGTTTGCCGATGGCCGCCACGCGGCGCCACGCCCCGATTCACGTGCATAGACAGCCTGCAGGCTGGTACCGCACAATGTCTGTCTCTCTCGCACCCACTAGAGACGCCCCATGAGTGCGAGAGGGCCAGCGTTGGCGTGACGAGGGCGCTCTTCGGAATCAGCCCGCTGCAATGCATCGCGGGGTAATCGGTTCTCCCGTCGGCATTCGGCGCCCCTCCCTTGCCCCCCTCCAACTAGCGACTGTTTATCTAACTGCTGCGCTCATCTCCAGAGACTAGAGGCAGACCTCAGATTCCCCCCCCCCCCTCCCAGCGTCTCCGGCCCCCACGCGAGCGTTACATAAAGGCGTCGCGGTCGCGCGACTCGGAAATTCGGCAGGCGTGCTTCGTGAATCACAACGACCGGTACGTCGTGAACGCTACAAACACTGAACAGGGCGACCTGCCGTTTTGCTGCGGCTGCCGCGGCCCTATCCAATTTCACACAACATTTAAAACGGAACTCTACCCTGGCAACCGCAGACACGGCAAGCGGCTGCAGCAGACTCATTCCGAGAGTCGTCGCTCTGTCTCTCTCGCACCTACGCGGCACGCTCCATGAGTGCGAGAGAGACAGAGCGACGGGCAGCAGCAGCGCGGCCAGGCCGGCCAGGCTCCGTGGTGGCCTTGCCCGTCCGCCCAGTGACGTAGAAGGTGAGCGGAGACTGACGGCAGCACGGCAACGGCCAACGTGCCCACCACACGGAAATCGCTACGTTCTTCGTTTCATTCAACCAATTTCAAGACCAAACAGTGTGCCAAGAAGCCTAAAGTTAAGATGAAACCGAGAGGCGCTAGGCTAGGCAAGGCTAGGCTAGAGTCCTACACTCCTAGAGTCCCACTATAGGATTCTAGCTAGGCGAGTGCAGTCGCTGTCTCCCTCGCACTCGTGGGGCGTCCCGTCCGTCCCGCACAGGCGCGAGAGAGACAGAGCGACGAAACGACGTGCGGGAGGAACGGTCCAGCACCACAAGGTAAGCGGCCTTATCGCTGCCGAGAGAAGGGAAAGGGGTCACAGAGTCCCTCCCGAGGCCCACTGATAGGCCAACCGGAACAACAACAACAAGCCGTCACGTGCATGCGCACCAACGGCACTGCACTGCCTAAAGGACAGCCAGCGGGGCGGTGTCGTCGTCCTGTCTCTCTCGCACCCCTACGGGCCCTCGGGACGCGCTGAGCCGCGGGTGCGAGAGAGACGCTGTTCGGAAACTAGACCGCAGGTCAGCGACTTGGCGCCGCTTTGCTGCTTGGAGCTTCACGTGCGCGTGCTGCGCGTGTGGCCCCTACTCCGGTTTGGCGGGTCAGCCCCCGCCCGCGGTGTACCAGGGCAGAGAGCGGGCGCAGCGGGCGCGGCTCCAGAGCAGACTCCAGAGTCGACTCCAGCTAGCCGAGCCAAGCGCCTAGTGCGTTGCATAAGGACGCCACGCGCGCCACGCGGCTACGCGCCAGGACTGGAACGCGTGATCTTGCCGCAATCCGTGAATAAGTCGCGCTGGCCGCCACCAAGTGCGGCGGGATGCTCTCTCGCTGTCTCTCTCGCACTCAGGGGCGCAGGGCGCGCTGCCAAGGGGTGCGAGAGAGACGCGGCTCTCCCCACCTGTTGCCAGATAACGCCTCGCCGCGGGCCTCGCGTATGGCGCCGCGTAGCGCACAGCCTGCAGGGCCAGAATCTGCATGGTGACGCCCAGAGATAAGGAAGGCAGGCTCTACTATCACGGGGCGCCCCACGAGTGCGAGAGAGACAGAGCCACGATGCAGGACTCTCGGGCCGCCCAGGGCGAGACCCAGAAGGAAAGCAGCGGGCCTGCAGGGCGGAAGGGCAGAGAAAGGGACGGGGCAGCCCGGGGCAGCCCCACAACACGCTGCCAAACGACGCCCAGCGTTCGCACGCGCCCTCTCCGCCTTGCCTCCGCGCTCCCACAACCAAGACGGGCGGGCGGCACTTGACAGCGCCATGCACTTTTGATGTGCACGATTATCGAACACGGCCCTCGCCTGCCGAACACTGTTCACAGTGTACCCGCGCGGTGCACGACGGGGGACGTCGACAGGTGTCGGGTTCGCCTCCGCGCTTTCGCGCACTTGACAACAGTTCGGCCCGCCCAACCACCGCCACGGTTCACCACGTCTGTTCTCAGAATGTACATTACAATGAAAACAAACGGACTTTGCCGCCTTTGTTTCTCTCATTACACGGAAAGACTTTGACAGCGAGTGTTTCGCCACCGCCGATAACCAAATAATCACAAGGTTGGTGGCTCCCCTTACGAAAGCCGACACACTGCATTATCGGTCAAATTACGTACAAAAACACGGCAGTGTTGGCGGGGCGGCCCTACACCGTCGCGAGGCCGAGCCTCGTAGTTTGGAGAGAGACGGCCAACAGACTGATTCCGAGGGTCGTCCTGTCTCTCTCGCAAGTAAAGGGAACGTCCTATGAGTGCGAGAGAGACAGGACGACGAAACCGACTATCTCCGAATCAGTCTGCAGATTGGAATCGCGCGAAGGTTGGGCTAGACAACGGTGCACCAAGGCTTGGCCAAGTCGCGGACACACTAGAAACGCGCGTCAAATCCGTCAAATCGCACCCCGAGTTGAGCCGGCCCGGCCACTCGGTGGAGGGCGGCGCGGCGGGGCGGCGGCCGGCATGATACCACGATGATCCAAACACTGCAAGGAATTAATTCACGCAAAGCTCACGGGACACGAGGCTAAAGATAAGGTGAATCATTTCGGCGCGCGGCTTTGATAGGAGACGACTCGCAGACAAAAACGTCGCGACTTGGTTTTTTTTATCTCGGTCGCTTCCGCCGCCAGCAAGAGAGGTGTGGTCGCGAGTCGATTTTGATTGGCATGTGATGGCGAATAAATGACAAGGAAGCTTCGAATGGGGCGGGCCCTGCTTCGCCGAACGCAGGCCCAACAGCGACTTCCCTTAGTCCCTTGCTCAGCAAACCACTAACCAGCCAGGCCGTTTCCGAACAGCTATTGCCGTCTCTCTCGCACCCACGGGGCGTTCCCTTACGGTGTGAGTGAGGCACAGCGACAGGGCTTACCTGTTGTAGTTATCGGTGCGAGATGCGGCGCTGCTTGATTACGTATCGTTTATGCGCGTGAGCACTCCGCGGCGCTAGCCGGCTCGGCTTGCGTAACACGACCGCAGGACACACTGTGGACACACTGGCGTGCAGATCGCTGGGCGGCTCGCCTTTCCGCGGGGATGCTTGTCGTGCTCCTCGACACGGAGTGCACGCAGCACGCAGTGAGCGACCGCCCACGCTCCGACAGTGCAGGTGTCAACACGGGCACGGCGACTGAAGGTGCGGCGAGCCAGAATGGCGCACACACGCACGCCAGAAATGAATCAAGTGGGCTGCCGTGTGCGTCTCGCACAGTGTCGCCTCGCCGGCTTGGTGGCCTCGACGACGGCGGCTCGGCTCGACTGTGCTCTCGCCGGGGGAGTGGAGCGCGGCGCGGCGCTGTTTCACTGCGCGGGCTGCGTGGGGCGCAGCGCGACTGGCGGGCGGCGACGGCGGCCACCACGGGCACAGCACACAGCTGAGCGGAGCGCCAGTCGCTCGTTGGTTCTATCCAGCGCTCGGCTCGGCTCTCGGCAGCACTCGGTTCTCGGCGCGCGATGTTTGAATCAGAACGTAGCCGTCGGCGGGAGCGGGAGGCTTCCCCATGGGCTTCCCCGACCCAACCTGAAACCAGTGGTGGTCGCGGGGGAGGAGGTAGGTGGAGGAGGTCAGGGGGTCATGACCCCCTCATTTCCGTACCAGACAGCCGCCTGGGAGGTACGCAAATTACAACGCACTCCGCCTGAATATAGGCAACAGCGTGGCCTTCAAACGGCACGCCACTGCCTCAACCTTAAACTCCGAAAGCGAATGGTTTCGGTTGCAACCCTTCTTTTCGACCGTGGCAAATGCCAGCAGAGTTGATAGATTTGCAAGCCTCGAGCGTCACTGAGTATAAGTAGCAATTTCGCACACACTCCGCCGACGAGGTGTGGCGCGGGAGGGAATGCCCCCTGTGGAGAGATTTCGAATTTTCCCGGGCCTCCGGTCCGGGCCTCCGGGCAGGAAGGGCGGCACAGGCGCAGGGGAGGGGTCCTCTCCTCCACTGCGTAGAGGAGAGAGGTCGGAGCGGGGAATTCCCACCGCAAAACGATGGCGGGTTGCAACCCATCCTACATATTTTTAGCTGTTCGCGGCTGATATGAACATAACGTAACGTGGCAGATATTCATCCGTTACGACAACTCTGAACCCAAAGCGACAGATGTTGGTAAAACGCGGCCGAAACAAAACATGAGGCAGGCTTCGAACCGCCGTACTGCGAGTTTCAAACCGCAGACATTAGCCGTCAGCCCGCCGTCAATGTGTAGTGGGGGCCGTGAACAGCAGCGTTGACTTCCCCCGCCCCGCCGCCGGCCGAACTGCGCCCTTGCAGTCCTTCCTGCCCCGAGTCGTTGCTACCGACGAATCACAGGCCAGGACAGAGAGCCACGTGACCTTGGCGACTCTCCCCCACCGCCCCCACCAGCCCCGGCACAACTCTGGTACGGAGTCAAACACAGCGCTCGGTATGGCGGATTCAGCGGTCGGAGAGGCGCACACCCTCGCCTGAGGCTAGAGTTGCGTTTCCGGTCAGCGGGCTATTTAAATTGGAACTGCAGGATAAATTTTATTCTTTCATCGCGAAAAGAAGATGATAGTAGTGCACAGAAATCATTGATCTAGCTCAAGGTTACCTTCAATTTGAAAACATAAGCACCCGAAATCCCGTTTACGATCTCTCTAGGCTATCTAGTCAAGGTGTGTCGCCTCCTGAGCTTCCAGCTTTCTCCACAGGGGGCGCTCTAGGCGAGCGATTCTCAGCGACCCAGCAAGCAACCTCACTTCCAGTTTTGATTGGGTAGTTTCATTATTTTTTGAAAGAATTCTCCTTAATAATCCTCCAATACTTTACATACTGGTGGTAACTCTTGATAACAGTGGAAATACTACGTTCTGCTGGATTTGCCATAGTGAGCTGACTGGCCTGGGAAATGGAAACGAGGGGCGGTGCGGGTGCGAGGCGCGGGGGCTGCGGGGCTGTGGGGGCGTGGTGGGAAGGGGAGGGGGAGGGAGACATGAGCGCAGGGGTCAGACAGAAAAAAGACTCTCAGTCCTGCGAGAGCGAGAGAGAGGGGCGTGGGATTCGTTTCGCCATTTTGGAGAAAGAAAGAACATGAACATCACGTCTCAAGATAGTGTTATGGGATGCAGTTTCGAAGCGGAATCGCTGCCAGATTTCGATGAATTCGATTCGTACTCCGTCGTGGAAGGCTACCAGCAGGAGTCGTAAGTCGTGTCGCTATTTGCGGGGTTCGCCCGGCGTGCCTTGTCAGCTTGAGCCCTATAAATAGGTTTTGTTTACAAAGTTGATAATTCATTAACCGTGCAGCAGACTATATTTTGTCCGAATGGAAATGGAAACCACCTTCCCCAATTCATTTTCACGTCGAAACGGGGGCAGTGACGTGAATAGTTTATCTGTGAGGCCCGTACTTTCTCCTGAGACTGAGGCACCTAATTGTGAGTCAACACAGACGGCCAGGAAATGGGGTCACCGTTGACTTGTCACGCCGTGCCCGTCCTTTCCGGCGACCTTGTCCCGTCGAAGCGTTAAAATGATGCTATCGTTGTGTGCGGACGCTGCTCCGCGGAGGCCCCGTGATTGTCAGTGGCCACAAGCATCGGGCTGAATGTTGACGCAGAGGTTATGGCCGTCCGTGTATACCTGTTGTTAGTCACCGGAGCCGCTTGCCGCTCAGCGCCGAGCCAGTGGGTGTGTATCGATTCGTCATCGCCGAGTCGCGGACGTCGCGGAGCGGAGGCCGCCGTCCAGCCGTTCGATCGCCAGTAGCCCTTGGTCAAGCCCTTGGTCATGTCAGCCTGTCCTTCAAGCTCTCGGGGCATTACTGGACAATCTTAGTCTCAGCGCAAACACATCGCGCTCTCCCATTAGTCCGCTTGGTAGGCCCCTCACAGCAACAGTCTCAGTATCTTATTCGCCTGGATTTCTTTTTATTTTCTTTCATTGTGGCTGTTGGTGTTACAAATTTTGTGTCTAACAATTTCACCCACTTTTGTTTCGTACCTCATACATTAATGTTTTAGTTCTTTACGTTGAGTTTTCGAGTGAGTTTCTAATCCGTGTTTTGTTTTGCATGTTCTGTGTGGAATTGCAGCTACTGAGACAACGCTGTTTTTAACCACGGGAGAGAAGCTTATTGAGAAATTTGAGGTAAGTATCGTTGCTGTCACTAATCTGCATTCATTCTGTGATCAAAGAAATTTACGTATACAAAGTAAATTATTATTAGAGCAGTCGGCATTAACACAGCTAACTTAAATTTTAATCCTCTAGATCATAGTGGCTAGTTTTTGATCAATAATATTATTTTGAGCAAAAAAAAAAAATACTTACAACTTAGAAATAAATTTTGGATCACGTAGGTCACTTGACGTAGGAAGCCTAGTATGCCTACCAGCACTATTATCACTGTGCACTCTTTATCCAGCAGGTCTAGACGACCCTCTGCTTTCAACATGGCAGCCCCCATGACGACGATAGAGACGGTGACCATCACGCGCCCGCTCAAGGTGAGTCCCTGGTCCTGGTGACAGGCAAGCTCAGCTACCGACCTGTGGTGTCCGACCTGACCCAGCAAGCAGTTTGAGGATTCGAATTTAACGGGGTAAGGGGGGGGGGCGGCTTTGCGTTTCCAATATCCTACCCCCACTTAATTTATCTTTTTTTGTTCCTTGTTGTGTGGTTCCGGCCTTTGGCCTTGCCGTTTGTACTTGAAAGTCGACCTGGCGATTGGTTTGGGAAGTGGACGCATGGTAGTGGCGCTAGAGTCCAAAAGTCCTGGCTGTGCGCTGGCGGCAAGGCAGCGCGTGACCTCCATGTTCATTCTGGAGCGGGGGTCGCGGGGCTGGATGGCTGGCTGGCCGTCTGACTTGTGAGTGTTGCTAGGCTGGCCAGGCCCCAGACCCAACTGGCCTCGCTGACACGGCCGCCCCGCCCCGCCCCGCCCCGCCTCGCCGCGGACCTGTGACACGCCGAGCCCCGGCCGTGCTTGCGCCCCGACCGCCTACCCCTACCCCTACCCCTACCGCCCCGTCCGGGCTTCCAGCGTGCTTCCAGGCTGCGGGCATAGCGATGGCGTGGCCTGGCATGGCCTGGGCACGGCGTCCCACCTGCAGGCGGGGCGCAACGCGGGGCGCGGCGGGCGGCGGGGTGGGGTGGAGCGGAGCGGGGGTGGATGGTGGACGGGGAAGGGGTGGATAAGAATGGAACGACGCTGTGACCCCTCCCCGCACCCCGCCACCCCCTCATCCCGGAGCGAGGTTGCTCCAGCAGGGTGAGGGCAGGGCAGGGAGATGTGGGCGCCCGCCCCGCCCCGCCCCACCCCCGCTCCCCAAAACACGGCGTCATTGATCGGCGAGGGCGCGGGGAGGGTGGCGTGGCCGAGGTCGAGTGGCGTTGCGGAAAAGCGCGGGAAGGGGTTCTGCGGGGCAGCCCTCGGCAGCCCTGGTTCTGGGTTCTGGGCTGGTGGCGCTACGCTGTCGGGGCAGTGCTCGCAAGCGCGCCGCCGAGGGCAGACGCACGCACGCAATACGCACGCACCGCACCGCGCCGCCCCGTGGCCCCGCCCCGCCGCGTGCCGCGCACGGAGCCCCGTGACGCTGCGCACCGCCGCGCACCGCGACGCACCCCGACGCACCGCCCCGTGGTGCTCGGCGTGAGGGCTCTGAGGGCGTGGTGACGCCCCAGCCCCAGGCAAAGCCAGGCCCCGGCCCCGGCCCCCTCGTCTTCCTCTGTGCCATCGCCGCGGCACGGTGCAGGCCGACAGAAGGTACCGACCCGCGGGGCAGCCAGCGCCCTACGGCCAGCCCCCCGGCCAGCCCCCTGGCCAGCCCTACGGCGAGCCTTACGGCCAGCCCTACGGCCAGCCCTACGGCCAGCCCTACGCACAGGCGTACGGCCACGCGCGGGGCCTGGGCGTGCAGGCTGCCCAGCTAGCCCCCCAAGGCCCTCAGGGCCCCCACCAAGGACAGGCGCGCCAGGGGCACCAGGCCCCGCGGGTCCGGCAGACCGCAGTTCATCAGGAGATGGCCACCAACCAGATCGCGCAGGTACACGACGCTGCTGTAGAGAGGATGTAGTGTAGCGGGAAGTGGCTTGGACGGCGTAGTGGCCGCCACCCGCACCGCCCGACCCGCGACAGGGCCGACAGGGTTCCGGGTCGTGATTAGATCTCATTGCTAAATGTAACCGAAGAGCAGCACTAGTTGGCGCCGCCCGCGCATCCAGCGCCGTGCCTCGCTGACAGACCTGCAGACTCATTTCGAGTGTCGTTTTCGTCGCTCTGGCTCTGTCGCACCTGCACAGGACGCCCCACGAGTGCAAGAGAGACAGAGCGACGAAATTGTCTGCTGGCACTCGCGGCAGCCCCCCTGCACGCTAACGACGCTTCTGCTTGTCCTGTGTAGTCGCGCACGCACTCGGCGCGAGGGTGAGCACCACGCTACGCTCTGCCGTGCTTTTCCCCCTCGCAGCTCCAGCCAAGGACTGATTCCGCCGGTCTCACTCACACCCCTGCGGGACACCCTGTGGGTGCGGGAGAGACCGCTCGGAATCACTCGGCAGAAGACGCAGGGTCCGGCGGCAGCGGAGTGGCCGACTCTGGCCGCCCCGAAATTGGGGCAAACACTCGCCCCTCTCACCTCGTGGCCGCCAGGCTGCGCGCCGCGCCCTCATAAACTCCACTGGTAAACACTCGGCGCGCCGTGCCGCCTCGCCGGAGCTCCGCCAGCGCCCCACAGACTAGAGACCCTCCCGTCAGAGATGCGCAAAGGGGGGCCCTCTCAGCCAATCACAGACGACTGGTAGTCCCATGCGGAGCGGGAAGCCCGAATTCGCCCCGCGCGAGGCTACGCAGGTCAGCATCTGGTGCGGCACAGCAGGTATACGGCGGTCGCCCGCTAGCCTGACTCAGGGTGCCTTTGACTCCACGGGACTACCAAACGCTGGCTTGCGCATCTCTGACGGGAGGGTCTCTACACAGACTCCCCGCGAAAACACGTCAGGGGCGCTGGCGGGCGCTGCCCTCCTCCTCCAAGTGCACCCCGCGGCTGCCCTAGATAGAGCGCTGGCGGCATGGCGGCGGTCCTCGCGGCGCCCAGAAGACTGATTACGAGAGTCGTTTTCGTCGCTGTCTCTCGCACTCTTGGGATGCCCCGGCTAGGTGCGAGAGAGTCAGAGCGACTCTCGGAAGCAGTCTGCAGGCCGGACCAATGTCGGCCACGGGCCGGGCCCTCATGACGCCCAGGCCTGTCTCGCTCGCACCCGCTCGGCACAGCCCGCGAGCGAGAGGGAACCGCCGCTCGAATGAGACTGCAGGCGCGGCCTGGCGGCCCTGCTTATCTGGCCACGTTATGATGGCGGGACGAGCACGGTCTCGGCCGCGGCCGGCTGGGGGATTTGGGCTGCCGCCGCTGCCGGGGCTGAGTCACGCATTTTTCTTTCCGGACCGTCGCGGTGCCCCGTCCGCGGTGCCCCGTGACCCCCTCGATGTGACCTCCCCGACCAGGGCACCAATCCCTCATCCTGTCTCGCTGTCGCAGCGGACGGCCAGGCAGCCCAGGCAGGCCAGGGCGCTACGCCGGGGCCCTTTTCTTTGAGGAGGGGGGGGGGCGTCCGCGTTGTGTCGCGGTCATGCCCTGCATTCCACTGGGCGTTGGAGGGCCCGGGGCGGCCCGGGGGGCAAAGAGGTTTGGAACATATCGGTCTGTGGCGTGGCTGGTCCCCCCGGGCGCTGAGCTGGGACTGGGGACCGTGGCGGGCGGCGGGAACGGATTGGAAGCGTAGGTCCCGGTGTTTGAACCGCCAGACCGGCCAGGGTCTGGTCTGTTCGTCGAGGAGCTGGCCCGCTGTTACCCATGGCGGGTACTTGGCGTGTACCGTGCGAGCACCGCACGACCCGTTGATAAGGAAGGACGTACTGCGGCCAGCGAGCACGCCGCCGTCGCCCTGCCCCGCCCCGCCCCGCCCCGCCCCGCCCCGCCCCGATAGCGCCGCCGCTACCCTCTCAAACTGGGAAGAGTGCTTTTCGATGCAGGCGCGATAGTCCGCGGCGTTGCTGCTGGAGATGCGCCTCGGCCGATAGGGCGGCTTAGGAGGGCTGGCGGGGCTGGCGGGGGAGGGGACGCGACGCGGCATGAATAGGGGTCGCGCTGTCGCAGCACAGCGGGCCGCAGGGCGCAACTCAGGGCACGCTGCCGAGCCCTGCTCCGAGCCCTGCATTCCCCCAAAGGGACTCTAATCGAGCGCGCACCGTTGGATTGCTTTGATTACCGACGAGGAATCCCATAGGTTGGCAACCATCCGTGCTCGGTTCGGGTCCCGTCGCTCAACTTGTCATCAGTATGGATCATCCCGAACTGGTCCTCCCCTGGCCCGCTGCGCGCTGGGCTTGGTTCGAGCCCTGGCGATAGTCTCGAAACTTGGCCACTGCCATCGCCAGCTCTCTGGAACGCACCCAGCCTCCACACTCCACGATTAGTTGAGCGGAAACTTGGCCAGACTCTCTCTGTCTCTGCCGCAGCACGTGCGGACAAAGCAATCTAGCTCGAGTGTGCTGGCAGTGCGTTTCCTTCTCCGTCCAGGCCGCACAGTGGGTCAGAAGACCGGTGCTGGCGGTCAAAATCCCGGACAGGTTTTGAGCTCCAGAGTCGTTAAATGGGACTCGCACAGAACCTATGACCCTACCAATGGATTCCTCGTTCGGAGACAAATTCATTGGTGGGGGTCACACGCTCGGTTCGAGTCCTGTTTGTTTAGCGACTCGGGAGCTCAAAACGCGTCTAGAATTTTGGCCGCCTCCGCCGGGCTTCTGGCCCGTCTGGCCGTGCGAACAACGTGCGGGCGGACCCGGCAGCGGGCCGCGGGCATTATAAAGCAGTACAGAGAGAAGAGAAATTGGGTAAAAAGGCGCGCCGTAGTGCGACCGGAACGCCCCGGAACGCCCCGGAACGCCCCGCGCGGCGCAATATCTCTCGCCGCGCCGCGCCACGCCACGCCTCCTCACTGTCCCTGGAGCCCTGAAGGGGCCGGCCGAGCGCGTAGCCAGGCGGAGCCTCCACTCGGCGGGTCGTGGGACCGTGGAGTAGGGTAGTCTACTTTATTGACCGCCTTTGGCCGCCTTTGGCCCGCAACCCAACCCCCTTTTCTCTCAAGTCTCGAAATTGCAGAAAGTTTTGCCGGCGGCGCGGCTTGCGCCTTGGCTCGCGCGCTCCCCGAAGCCCTGAAGGTCGAGGCGCCGAGGCGGCCGGGAAGGGAGGAAGGATTCCGGCCGAAATGGGGAGTTTGGACGCAACAGCAGGCACGCCTGGCCTGGGCTGGGCGGCCTGGGCGGCCTGGGCACGCCGCACCGTCGCGTCGGGCTGTGCAGCTGTGCTCCGCTGTGCGCGCCCAGCCAGCCGGGGGTGTGGGGGTGTGACCCAAGGCCGCCTGTCTCTCTCGCACTCGTTGACGGTCCGAGAGGAGCAGCGAGGACAGAGCGAGGGCGTGGGCAGATGCCCTTACACAGTGTCTC